AATTTGTTCTTTTAATGCTTAAAGATTGGTTTTCCATGCGAGTAAAATAAGTTCAATGAGATGCATCATTTTAAAGGCGCTTATCACAAGATCTATTGAACTATCAAGAGATTAAATTCTAAACCTATAACCTATTCACCTACACACCCACAAAATAAACTCTATAAACTCTATATGTCTTCATCAAATCCAACAAGTGCTTCACAACAAACAAATGCACACACAATTCACTCATCCGCGAACACTAGGATGACGTTTTTAATTACGAGGTAGGGGTATCCTGCAGAAGAGTGTGTATTCAGGGTAGTTCTAAATTTCCTCACCAAGGCCAGGCCCCCAAGGTTCCCCCATTATAGGGTCCCCACTCCCTCAGCCTTCAGATCATGCATGGCACTAAGTCCTTGTCAGTCTTTGGGCCAAAAGGGGAAGATTATCACCTAGAGTGGTAGTTTATGACCATACCAGTGGGCTCATGACCCTCACTATGGCAAATCGTACAATGCTACTTGTAGACCCCAAATCTTGTCTAGCCTCAAAATAAAGAGCAGAAAACTTCCGATTTGAAGATGGGCAAGGCCTAAAAGGTCTCTAGGATAGACCAATAGGCCCCATATTAGAGTAGGAAGGTTTTTTATACGGAAAAATAAAAATTTCACCTAGAAGGCCGAGACCGCCGTCTCGCCATTGGCAAAGGGTGAGACGACCTTCTCGCCATTTATCAAGGGCAAGACCGCCATCCCGTTTGGCGAGACGGCGGTCCCAACCTGACAGGCGCAAATTCCTATAAAAGGGGGGCACGACCTCATCCTTTTCACAACATTCTTCAACTTTCCCTTCTACAACTTTTTCAAATTCTTCTCCTTGGATCCCTCCGAAGCATTTCCGAAAAACCCACTAGATCGAAAACCCGCAAAGGGCGGTCTAGGCAAAAGTTAAGGCACTCATAAAATGGAAAAAGCTCGCTAAGATATCCTAGGCAAAAATTAAGGCAGCCCGCTAGATCGAAAACCCCAAAAATGAATAAAAAGAAAAACCCATTAAGAGTAATCACGAAAGATCAACAGAACAATACCAGTCACTTTCTAGATGCATCAAATAAAAGTATATTACATTTAAGGCATCCACACAAATAGTCTCACAACACGACTTTGTCAAAATCGAAAAAACAAAAATAAAGAATCGCTTCAAATAATTAACAAAATCGAAAAAAGCATTCATGCATAAATGAGGCATTACCATAACTTCAACGCGGACCGAAAATAGGAAGCAAGCCTCCTCAAGAAAATAATGCAAACCGAAAGCCTTCACTTCCGATGAAGCATCTGACTACTCAGAGGCATTACCAGAACTTAAACGAACGCTCGCCTGCTCAGAGGCGTCGCCCAAAATCACCACAAAGCCTCGACAACCAGCAAAGTCAGATGACCACTACCAAAAGATTAAAACAAGGAATGCCCAGGGATCAACAAGCTGGATGGCTATCAGAAAAGACAAATATCAAAGAATCCCCATCATACCGGAAGACTCTACTAGACAAATCAAAGACATTTACCAAAAATCATTCCCCATGGAATCACTTTGCATGAGCCAGAGCAGTAAGTCACCACCAGTCCTACGAAGTGGACTGCACCAGCCCGATGGGGGGTTCATACCCATCAACCTACGCATGAGCCAGAGTAGTAAGTCGCAGTCAGTCCTACAGAGTGGACTACACCAGCCAAATGAGGGGTTTATACTCATCCAATCCTACAATTGTGGACTGCAAACGCTACCAACCGGATGGGGGTTCATACTCATCAATCGAGGGGTCGGCTACCGCAAGAAAGAGCATCCTGAGGTTCTACCACTTGTTAGCTGAGGGGTCGGCTATCGCAAGAAGGAGCATCCCAAAGCTACAAGCAATCGGATGGGGCTTCATACTCATCAACCGAGGGGTCGGCTACCGCGAGAAAGAGCATCCTGAGGTTCTACCACATGTCAACCAAAGGGGTCGGCTACCGCATGAAGGAGCATCCCGGAGGCGCACACACACATTTTTTGTCTAGAGGGTTGGTTACCACAAGAGGGAGCATCCGAAGGACAGCCGGGCAAGAAGGTTAACTCCTTCACCCTTCAACCGATCATTTTGGCATAATGGGTCAACAATCGGCTAGTCAGGTGAAGGGGGGGTAGTTGTAGACCCCAAATCTTGCCCGACCTCAAAATAAAGAGCAGAAGACTTCCGATTCGAAGATGGGCAAGGCCTAAAAGGTCCCTAGGATAGACCAATAGGCCCCATATTAGAGTAGGAAGGTTTTTTATACAGGAAAAATAAAAAATTCTACCTAGAAGGGCGAGACTGCCATCTTGCCATCGGCAAAGGGCGAGACCGCCGTCTCGTTTGGCGAGACGGTCGTCTCGCCACTTGCCAATGGCGAGATCGCCGTCTCATTTGATGAGACGACCTTCTCGCCACTCGCCAATGGCGAGACCGCCGTCTCGTTTGGCGAGATGACCTTCTTGCCATTTGTCAAGGGCTAGACTGCCATCCCGTTTGGCGAGCCGGCGGTCCCGACCTGACAGGCGCAAATTCCTATAAAAGGGGGCTGCGACCTCATCCTTTTCACAACATTCTTCAACTTTTCCTTCTACAACTTTTTCAAATTCATCTCCTAGGATCCCTCCGAAGCATTTTCGGAGTTTCTTAGTATTCTTAGAGAGTGTTCTATAGTGTTGCGAGGAAGAGCGACCAACATTGTACAATGGGGGATTACCAAAAAACATCCTACTTCAAGAATATTAAATACAAAAGCTTTCTTCGAAGGTTCATATAATTTCTCTCTTCTTTTACCGCTTTTTCTATTACATCTATCTGTGCATTAGCTGTTAGGGCCATGTAGTCAACATTTTAAATTCCGCAAATAAATAAAGGGTAAAAGTGTAATTTTAAAGTTTCTATTTATGAAATAAGCGACCCATCATAGGGAACCCGAAAGGGGCATCGTAGGGAAGCTAATACCTTTCCCTACACGTAACTAACTCCCT